CTCGTATAGAATGATGTGCAGAATGCTCCTAAACAAGGTTACTTTCACATCAATTGAGCATCGTGCAAACCTGCGGGCGATCATGTTCGCCCTGACACACAACGCTCTCCGTTCCCTATCTATATCAGCATCGTCCCTGAGGTCGGGTGTCAAAATGTGTCCAAGATATTTAAATGTTTTTACAATTTTTAAAGGGACCCCATATAGCGACATGGGGGTACACTCACACCCCCCCTACATCTAACCGGCCCCAAAGACCATGACTTCACTTTATTATATTATTATTATATTATATTTATATATTCAAAATAGGCAACTAACTTTACGTTTCAAATTCCGATAAATTAAAACTTATTTGCGCTTAGATTCACGGTCATACTTTTGTAATTGGTTTTGATTATTAGGATTTATCGAAGAGGTTGAATAAAATCATTCTGAATTGGCATGATCATTTGATTAGCGTCAGTAGTAAAGTTTAAACAATTATTATTGTTAATTACATATATACCTTATTTTTCACTATTTTTAAAGCCTGCCCTGGAAACTTCTGAGCTTCTGGCAGGAGCCACTCTGGCTATAGCCAGGATTTTACTCACAACGGACCTAATGGGCGACTAAGAGTGTAATCTAAGTCCACACCTACATACACGCTGACAAGTTTTATCAAAAGAACACACTAATCTCAGTTGTATAATTATAAACCAATTCAAACGTATCATATAATATGTCGTATGTAGTGTTTATTATATAATATGTCATAGTTGTATAGCTTTTTTTCAGTTAAGGGCTAGATCGTTAGGTGTCAGAGATGAGACAGAGAGAGAAACTTAGACAATATTTTCTTTAATTTCTATTAAAACAATAAAGTTCTTTTATCCTGGTACATCTAAGAGCCAGAATAATAGAACTAAGAGGTAGATATCACAAGCATCCGAGTTTCTTTGCGGGTGTAGGGGGGTAGGGGGCTAAGGTTGACAAATGGGCCGCTCGGAGCATCCGCGAGCGATACAATCGGTGCGTTGCTTACAGCTACGAAGGAAAAAACTAGGGTTGTCAACTGGAAAATTATTTTGTAAAGAATTTAACAAATTGTAAAAACATCGCATTTTATATATAACATACCGATTGTATCAGTTTTAAAATATATCTTAGCCAGAAAACCTATACATAACAATAGCTAGCTAATCATTTAATTTGTTATAACGGTTTAAGATTTTCTGGAGGAATAAAATTGCACAGTGACTGTATAATGTATATTAATATATATAGAGTTTTTCTTCGTTAAAGGTTGTCTTTAGTTTTCTTTTAAAATGCAATAATTATAAGTAAGACACACTCCTACAATCCATAATTGTCTATAAAAATGGCTGTATATATCTTAATACTTAAAAGCTAGTGACAATATTACTGAGTTAGTAAGAATTATGTATTTCAATTTTCTGTCATGAATTTGTGTCTATTGTAACATTAGGTAATAAATATAACTCTTATATTGGCAGCCCTTGTAGTACGCGTCACTGGACCCGTCGCAACGTGCCATTACTCACTGTCGGCCGCCATTTTCGATGCCACGCCCGCGCTACGGCGTAGCGCTCGCATCTACGCCGTAGCTCTCTAAACATTCTATTGTTTCTGTGTTAATATTTTTTGTTTTATTAATTAAGCCGCTAGTTTATTGGCTATTGGTTTTAACTCTATTTCACTAGACAAAGTATGTTTTAATAGTTAACAATTGCAAATTGATTTCTAAGTATTGATATAAAACTTAAGATTTTCTACTAAGTAAAGCGTAGAATGCCAAGCGCTTGGTACATTGATCCTCACCCAACTCCGCATACGAAGTCGCCTCTCTACCATATGCCGACAGCGAATTGTATCTTATTACGACCATACAATGCGCAAGGGCGATGAGAACTTGAAGTTACTGATCGTGGTTGGTAAAACAGAAGGCCGTTCCCCAGGTGGACCGATCAAGTGAAAGACTCATCGTCCTCAAAACTGTACACTGTAAAAGAGGCGCTGGACAGTAACCACATAGTCAGCTCCAGATGTTTCCTTGCTGGTCAGCTCAGACATGAGCTGCCGACTAAAGTGAAAGATAAAAGAATTTTAAGTTTTTCTTTTTTTTTTAATATTTTATTTTACTAACTTTTGTACTTAATTAGGGATAAAATCATGAAAATAAAATACAAAACTTTTTTTAGGTTTTTAATATTTTTTACACAATTCGTAGCATTCATAATGCTGACATTTTTCTTGAAAACGTCTCATCAGCGTGTTAGTATGACCTTATTATTATATAAACAAAAAATCTATTATGTGTTGATCGGTTGCAATGTGAAAATTATACAGGTTTTTCTTCGCTGACAGACGCGCAATGTAATACTATATTTACAGACCTCATGGCTCCCAAACTCATTATGTATAATTAACTTATACATTCTAATAGACAGACTGTACAGGCATCTTTGACACAACTTTAAACTGTACTTAATGAACAAGAGACGTGAAAGAAAAAACATTTTTCAGCTATCGAAATTAGGTAGGTTGTACATAAAATACTACTTTTTACGCCCGTACAGTGTTTAGCAGAATGCATATAAGTTGTGTATAATACATATTTTAGAGAAAAATCAAAATAAATTTCTTCAATTAATACATTAATCTAATAACTACTATTTAAGACTTTTCTTAATAAAATATATTACACGCGATGAATTTTAACAATAAAATTGTAACAAATTGGGGATGTTTTTATTGAACCGAAATCCGATTAATACTGAAATTTCATGAAACGAAACATTTTATACAAAAATATTTAATACAATATATTTACAGTGTATAACGAATATAATATTGATTTGTTGTGACGTCATTGTTTCAAATTCAAATTTTATGGATTACATATCCCGATATTCACAATTATTCTTACACGATTTTAACAAATGTTTTTTTTTCTTTCCATCACACAAAAATGACAATGTGACTGAAAGAGAAGCTTTTGTTAAAACAGTTGAAGACTTATTATGAATAAGATCAAAGGCGTTAGACCCTGGATGCGCTAATGTAGAAATTGTATAAAAAATTGACATATCAACGTGATACTTATTCTTGAAACAGTAGAATCCAGTAGGGTTTATAGAAGTCATTTGAAGTATGAATCAATCATGTCACAACGTTAAAAAATAGAATAAAGCTTGTTTCCGGATAACTATAGCTATCAAAAACCGCGGCTAGGATCAAAATTTTTTATCGAAATTCTGTCAAATTTCAAAAGCTCCCATTCGTATACATCGCTAAGGCTGGTAACGAGAAATTACCATTAAAATTACTTTCGTGGTCGTCACCTTATAGTATACTATCGACTTTATTAGAATTTGAACATAAAGAATCGTATACGCAGCATAAACTTCTGACAGTTATGACATCCTGGTACTTATGTACTGGATCAGATAAACTTCTGACATATATCCTATTTACCGGCAAAACTTATGGCTTCTTTTGACTTTTGCAACATTAGCCGTTTTAATTTACTTTAAATACACAAAAAACACGGTCCAGTAAGTATATGATTCTTATATTTCAATGCTTTCAAAGTATACATAATGTAAAACATGAAACTAAGTCCAATGTACGAGGCAGTTTAATTAAAACGCTTCAAAATATGTTTAATTGGTGCGATGGAATCTTCAGTTGACTTAACATATTCTGATGCGATTCAAATAACCGGTCACATATACTTGTGAATCAAATCCGTGTGTAAGGCAATTTATTATCAAGACAAAATATAGCTAAAATCTCATCGTTTCAACAGTGTAAAATATTTATTTCATCGTATACATGGGTTACAAATTGTGCTATTACTGAACACCAAGGCAAGGTGAAACTATGTTACTAATCGTAATATAATAATATATAGTTAATTCAAAGATATGTATGTCACCTGTAAAGCAAAATTGCGAAGAAAATTGACGTTAAATTGAGCTTTATAAATAAGTAGGAAAACGAAAACGGAAATTTCAATTCGATGGTTGCTCCCAAACTGCTTAGGACTCGAACGCACGGACGACCGTGCGTCATTAAAACGGTCGTGGAAATCCGAATCCTCGCATAACAAATTATAAACAGAAATGCTAAATACAACTACATACACAGCTCTTACAAAAGTCCTTCCAGCGAGCCCAGCACTTGTGATAGTTACTTACTAATCAATTATTTATTTATATTTACGTAATAACAATACACAATTAGCTATAAATATTTATACGATAACTATCAAACCGTTTATTGTTACATTCATCAACTTGCTCCTATTGTTCCGAGTGATAAACCGATTTTATAATATTTATAATAGGTGATTGCACCAGTCGTATAATACAGCGTCCACAATGTCACTTCGTTAATTTACATTAATTTTAACATTAGAGTTGACTTTAAATCTTAATTAGGAGATCGTATACTGTTTCAAATATTACAAAACGTATAGCTTTATGTACATAGCATAGTTCTCCTGTTTGTTCGTATCACGTGCCTGTCCGGTCGCACGGACGCATAGCGGCGCGTCGCGACTGGTAGATGAGATGCGCAGTCGCACATTCGCCTGGTGGGGATGCGCCCAGTCGCACGAACGCTTCTTTTCGAGACGCGAGATTAGTAGAGGCCTTATTTTGGGACACTTATCGGCCTTTAACTAAGGCCAAATATTGTGTACGTTATTCATATCTGAAAAGAGAAAAAATTAATTAATTTCATTTGAATAAGTCTTTCAAGAACTACGAGGCCTTGGAGATTCGAATTTGTTCTGTTAAAGCTGAAATTCCAATAGATTATTAATTAAGTATTGACTTTTAATAATTTTTAATCTTAATTAAATTTTTACTTTACCCTATTATCATAATCTTTGACCTACGTTTCGTCAAATGTCGTTAATGTCCATATAACTTGTAATTGTATTTTATTTTTAAATTATTTGAAAAAAATACTTACATGTACAAGTTGCATTAAAGATGATGGCCGTAATACTCGGCGGGATACTGCGCGTAGCCATGGTGGAAGGCGGGGTCCGTGGGCGGCCTGTGCATCATCTGCTGGCCGTCCATCATGTACCCCATGGTCGCTTCCGGGCTGTATGCACCACTGGGACCCGCGTGCGGGAACACTGCAGGATAGAACACTGAACGGTTAATTAGGCCTGCTGTTGGCATATCTATTGATAGAAGTCTTATTTCTATGGTTAAGCGGTTTTGACGTTTCGTTTGTCACCTTGCTCTAGGACTGGTAATTTCATAGCTAATAGAAAATTGAGGTTCTGTTTCAGTGTACTAGGGGACGATATATCGTATGGTTTTCGTTCACTTTTGCTAACTCCAGTCTCCAATTTAAATTAAACCTGTCCATAGCTAACTTAACGGATAGATAACTATTGCTCCCAACTTTCGTTACACGCAATTTTGCATGCGATTAATAACCCCGAAAGTAATAAAGCTGACATTACACATTCTGACAAAAAACGTTCACAATTGTCAAGTCGGTAGGAATTCGCTCAATTTTACCACAAAACTGTTATGCCTTCCGCAAGCAATATATCCTCGGGGATTATCAATCGTAAACTAATGGTGTTCGTCCATTATTGACGCCGATTTCCGCCGTCGTGGGGTCTTTATGGTGGCACGCGCCATTGCTCTGAGCTCGCAAACACGAGAGCGCAATGTCGTTTCGAATTACTTGAAAATACTTGAGAGGAGAATAAAGTTCTAACATTCATTACGTGTATTCGATTTTTGAATTTGACGATGACAGATCGTTTGAGCGCGCCTTATTTGCATTCGAAATATAAAATGCCGTTTGTTTTTTAAATTGGAAAACTTCTCTTTTTTGTTGTTGACAATTGACTATAGTTAAAAATGAAAAATAATTATCCATTATATGCATTTTTTTGCTTTAATTACACGCCTATGATTCGCGTGAATAATTAATAACTCGTATATGTAACTGAGTTGCAGCGTTTTTGCTTCAATAAAACGTATATCGATCCGATATGGTGTTGGAATTTTTAATTTTTGCTGTATTTGCTCAAATAAAGTTTAATTTTTATTGTCATACTAGAAAAAGTGATAATTAATGCAAACTTATACTGTAACTAAATCAGCGGTTGCGATATTACGTTATTGAAGTATGGTTATCTCGTTTTGTGAGGAATTTATTGCGTACCAATTCTTAAAAGGCCGGCAACGGACTTGCGAGCCTTCTGGCAATATGAGTGTCCATGGGCGACGGTATCACTTAACATTAGGAGAGCCTCCTGTCCGTTTGCGTCCTATTACATAAAAAAAATTGAAATCGTTACTCGACAGTTCCAATTGCAGCCAAGTATTGAAACTTCGGAATAGCTATCGGTTTTACAGAGTAACCTTGCTTGTTTTAAGGCTAAGTTATCAATAGACAAAAGTAAAAGATAAAGAAAATGTTTAGTTAAATTTATAGCCTATGCGTTTTGCTAATGGTAGATTTTTTTTTAATTAAAACTAACCGTTGCGCAATAGACACATTTCTATTTGTATTCCGCATCAAAATATACCTTATAAAAACACTTTTAAAGGTAAAAGAAAGAAACTTATTAACGTTTTTCCTACACCCCACACTGCTTGATAAACGCGTTCATGCTTGCTTGGTCTTTGTTTACGTTTTACTACGAAAAACTAAATAGTTTTTATAAACTATCAGTTATTTCCGTTTGCTTTGTGGGATTGAGTTTTTATAAACTAGTGATATCAACGATAACGTTTTAATAATGGTATTACGGTTATTAGTGCTAGTAACTGAAAGTTCTAATAAATATTCCACGTCAGTTAACCGTTAGTTATACGTTCCACCAACACGTTATATTTATATTTTTAAATACATGTCGCAGCAATGGCGCTGGTATCGTCTGCTGTTGTCATTGTATGTCACAGAGCTCGTAAATTGACAATGTCAAAGTATTGTTAGTTTGACACCGTGTTAATTGGTCAATATTACTAGATCTACAAATTAACAGATTAATTGTTGATAGTAATAGTAATTTCATAGCCATTGTTATTATTAAAAGTAATGTACGTATATACCTAACTTTAAACCTTATAAAATAAAAGTCACTAAATATTAAGTTAATTCAAAAGTCAAAAATCATTTAGTCATATAGATAACACAATGTACACTTATGAACGTCAAAAAAGAAATATACATTGAATGCTTCTAATTTTACATTTACCGCCATTTCTCATACTGTCGTAGAACGGAAGAGAAGAACTGGTAATCAACTCTCCGCCACTCTTTTTAATCGCCAAGTTTTTTGTTTTACACAACGTTTGATGAGCTGCAACCATTACACCATAATCCACATGACATCTTAAGTAATAAAAAATAATAAAATAAATTAAAAACAAAGATTTGTCCTCTATCAGCAGGAGGCATGGTGAAATAGGAGCACGCACTCTCATTCATTATTTGACACTGTAGTCGATTCGGGTTTCGTCAAGGAACGAGTACACGAAATGTCACAAAACTTATATGTAACATATACAGGCACTGGTTGGTGCTACCCGCATCTCGATGGAGCGATCCAAGCAGAAGCCTTTAAAAAGTAGGCTCTAATGTCGAAATTAAACAGCTGATGCCAACAAATGCTGACATCATTCTTCTTTTATCAGTTCTTGTTCTTGTTAACCTGGTCGTGCTTTCTCGTCATCGGTTCAATGTGCCTAGTTTTCGTTGTCCCGTCCCCGACAGCGTGAAGACAGAGTGTTACATACCCTGTTTCCCTTCGATTTAATAATATTAATTTGAATTTAATTTTTAATAAAAATGAGTAATAAAAACATCAATCTACCAGGGCACCATAGAAGCATTTCGCAATAACACGTGAAGGACGTAGATTATCGCTCACTAAATCATAGTTTCCTGGTGGCGCCCTCTCCCAGGGGACCCGTTATTGTTTCCGCTACCGACATGCATCACTTGAAAGAGTATATGTGTCTTGTTCTATAATTATTCGACTCATATAGATTATTCATTTATAACTGCCGGTTTTAACTAATTAATAAAAAAATGAAAAATCAGTGGCGCTACAACCTCGTCTGTTTGGTCTGGGCCTCAGATTTCTGAATCTGTTTCATGATCATTTTAAAATCTAATAGGCAAGAAGTTGATCAGCCTCCAGTGCCTGACACACGCCGTCGACTTTTTTTGTCTAAGACATGTCTGTTTCCTCGCGATGTTTTCCTTCACCGTTCGAGCTAATGTTAATTGCGCACATAGAAAGAAAGTCCATTGGTGCACAGCCGGGGATCGAACCTACGACCTCAGGGATGAGAATCGCACGCTGAAGCCACTAGGCCAACACTGCTCTTGCTCTGGTCTTCTAAACTAATTAATAACTCATCTTTAAAATAGTATTTAGATCGTATTAAGACGTCTATAAATGACCGCAAATGTGAGAAATGTCTCTCTGTAATTTTAAAGAACAATACAGCCTTTTAGAAATCGGCGCCATTTTCCCGCATAGTTGAATTATTGGAGCGGCAAAAATAAGGTACTGCCGATTCCATTTAGTCATTCGAATTTGACAAGCCCCTTTTAAGCGAAAACTAAAGGAAAAAACCTCCCTTGGCAGTTGGAACGAACCGGGAATACATAAGCTGACCGCAGGAAATGCGGTGGTCGTTTTCTTCGAGCGATTGCCAAAACAATTTTCCGTTGTCCGCGTTTTTCTATTTTCCAACGAAAGTTAGCTTCCTGTTAGCAAACACTAGACTTTATGGCCCGTGAGCAATTTTAAAGGAAGTCGTGATCGCTTTTTTAGCTTGACCGTTTGTCGAATTTAAAGAATTGCTCTGTCGCTATTTCGGACGTTAGGTGTTGAGTTTGAAAATGGAACGTTTGATAACCGTTAGCTCGTTTATATTTCTTTATTTAAAATCGGATACTCTTTACTTTAAAAGTATTAAACTCGTCCCTAAAAATAATACCCCGTATTAAAAATCACCGGTCAGACAAAGTAGGTTTATTGATGGAAAATCAGTCGATCAGTCGAGTATTGTAATATGCTGACGTGTCATTAATGGCAGCCTATCAATAGGCAATTGGGCAAGTGGGCAATTTGTGCTCTTGTAATAAATTTAATTTCTGTTACCTGACACTGATGGCGATATAATGGACCCTAGATTTGCGGGTGTATTTTTTATTAATGGAGAGTTTATAGTAAAATAATATTTATGGTTGAAATTTGCTTTTAAGTTCTATGGCTTTTATTTCGAATCTTCATTCTTATAAAAGTTTATAAATAAATAATAAACCGTTTATTTTAATCAATGAATTCGCACAATCAGCCATATAAAAATAGGCATGCATTATGTCATATTACGTAATTATCAAATGTCGTAATAATAAGAACAGTTAAGCTACTTATAATTTTTGTCAAAACTTATGATCTAAAAATTCTACCAAACTATAAAGGCACTTACTTCCTTTTAATTATTAATAAGTTTTTCGGGTCAAAAATTAAACCTAACAACCACAGATCATATAATAATTGTTATTTTTTTCGTTGTCCGAATTGATATTTTTTTAAATATTTGACTTTTTTATTACATAATATAAAATTCTTCGACAAAAACCACTCGCTAAAGCCAAATGGGCTTATTTATAACGTTAAAAACATCCCTACACTACAAAAAGGACACAAAGAGGCCGAGAAAAGAAGGGTAAAAAGAATAATGTACGAATTCGTTGACCCGTCCGCGGCCATCCATCACGCGAACAATTCACCCCATCTCGGACATTCTTGCCTATTCGGGGATTAGATGCTTTTGTCTTCGTGTGACGTAATGACGTATGGTCGCAATTCCGATAATGATTCTGATAGGAATCAATTTATATAATAAAAAGAGGGTTTCATTAAGTTTTTTTTTAGTTTCTGTTAATTATATATTTACCCTCAGTAGGTATTTCTTTGTTTACCTTGCCATGGCAACCCTAGTGTCTGAATAAATGGCTTGTTAGCGATATACTGTTGCGTAATTTTTTATAGGTATGTTTAAGGTTAAACGTGAAAAAAATGCATTTTTAGTTGATTTGAAGAATATGAATGAGGTTGTCTATCAGTTGGACCTCATCGAGTATGTTAACGAAACGAATTGATATTTTCCACCGTAGCCGTCCAGGTTTCATCAAAATAGGTTTAGTTGTTTTTGAGATATGGGTAGGTTTCTGTACATAAATAATATAGCTAATTAATGTGGACATGTTTTTTGACGTTTATTTTTCCTAAATTATTAACGGCTTTGCACCGTTATTTAAAGTTAGATTTCGATGACTCTAACCTTAAATAACGATGAGTTCGACAATTCATAAACAAGTCTTAATTAAAGTATGTTTTGTCAATTATGTAAATGAATACTGTTTTTATTATAGCTTTAATTGATAGTATGTATCCCAACACAATTTTAAGTTTACTCTTCTGTCCCTTTTCCTCATAGCTTAGACGCTATTAATTGTTAGAAAGAGACGAAGTAATTCTCTAGTAAAATGAGTGCCTGTTTGAAAAAAGAGCCTGTTTGCAACTTAATTCAGCTACGAGCTTTTTAGGTCTGGGCCTCAGATTTCTGTCTCTGTTTCATGATAATTTGTCAATCTAATAGGCAAAGACACACACACCGACTTTTTGGGTCTAAGGCAAGCCGGTGTCCTCAAGATGTTTCCCTTCACCGTTCGAGCGAATTTAAAATGCGCTGAAAGAAAAGAAAGTGCACAGCTGTTCGAACCTACGACCTCAGGTATGAGAGTAGCACGCTAAAGCCACTAGGCCATCACTGCTAGTGTTAACTTAGCCAACTTGAAATTAAAAGAGGCAAAATGCAATTAAATTTCCTTAAAAGATACTAAAGATTCAGCAAGAGGTATCTACAAAGTAATTTGTGACAATTGCACTGCGCCCGTCCGTGCCAGTAATCTACTCATTATTTCACTCCGGCAGATGTGTCGCGATAAAGTGCTAGTGATGGTCCATTATCGATATTAAAATTATATATTTTAATGCTTAATTCTTTAATTTAGATTACACAGTATATATCATGTACTAACAAAGACAATTTATTAATAATTTATTGGTGGAAGTGTGTGTGGGAATGTGTTGTTTTTATGTAACAGGAGGCAAATGACTCATCTGATGTTAAGTGATGACGCCGCCCATAGAGACTCTTACTGCCACAAGGCTAGCAAGCGAATTTTAAGAATTGATACGCTCTTTTCTTGAAGGACCCTTAGTGGAATTGGTTCGGAAATACTTCAGTGGGCAGATGATTCCACATAGAATAATTCATATAATTTATCTAACGTTTACATCTTAATGTTGCGAGATAAATTGATTCAAGATTTTCTATGGAGTTATTTAAAAAAAAAACTCTAATGGACGTAGTATGTCAAAAATTTATAAACGTAATTAATTCAATTAACCAATGAAAGATATTGCACATTGTAATCGATCTATCGTACTATGGAACAGCACTAGTAGAGTTAGGAAAGAAATAGTGTTCAAATGGTCATTTCTTACGTCGTGCATACTGCATAAATGTACCGTCAGCAAACTCATCTATACATTAGCGAATGCAGCTCCCACAGACAGCAGCTCACTCCCAAGAGTACCTTGCTTTAAACTTTATTTTACTGAACTTACTTATTTGGTTAACTGTAAAATATCTTCGTTTACGTATAAAGCTCTCAAAAAAAGCTTATATGAGAGCTTTTGCTTAGATACTTTGTTTCTAAAGAGATTTCTTTCAAATTTCAGCATTTGCTTAAAAAGATTTCGATTTAAAGAAAACTTTCTAAAATATTTTATTTATTGCGTCCAAATTTGTGGTCCACTCTAAGTGCCGCATCAATAAATCGGCTCACGTCCACCCTTTGAAGTGAATTGACTTGACCGGACCTTCATACAGTATGCATTATGCACTTGTCCTCTTGAGACTTGTATCTTTAAAAAAGATACATCAAAGCACTAATGATACATTTAGTAGAATTTTGTAAGACCTGTTAAGTTACTATGTAATGTACAGAAGTGATGTCAAAATAACGAGTTTGCGTAACACATTTGCCTTTGCCTAATGCCTTTAGAGGACAAATCTTTGTTTTTAATTTATTTTAATATTATTAATTACTTAAGATGTCATGTGGAACATGGTGTAATTGCAGCTCCTTACAAACGTTATGTAAAACAAAAAACTTGGCCATTAAAAACAGTGGCCATTTATTGCCAGTTCTTCTCTTCCGTTCTACGGCCTTGATTTGAGAACTGGGAGTTAATGTAAAATTAGAATTTAATGTATGTTTCTTTTTTGTCATTCATAAGACCCAAAACGACGACGTGTAGCACAGATCATGGAAAAAACCTCAACACTACAATCTTTTTAGGTCTGGGCCTCAGATTTCTGTATGTATCATGATAATTTGTCAATCTAATAGGCAAGTAGGTGATCAACCTGTGCCTGACACACGCCGTCGTCTTTCCTCACGATGTTTCCTTCGCCATTCGAGCGAATGTTAAATGCGCACATAGATAGTCCATTGGTGCACAGCCGGGGACCGAACCTACGACCTCAGGTATGAGAGTCGCACGGTGAAGCCACTAGGTCAACACGGAAACAGATATAAAATCAGAGGCCTAGAACAAGGGGGTTACAGAGTCGAGCACGGGCTTTATCTGTCAAAATCTAAAATTTTTTTGCAACTCACTAAAATTTTGCATTTAATCGTCACACTTGCTATGCCAGGTGTATCAAGGATGCGTTAATTCAAATTTAAATGCTAAAATAGACACCTCAAACATCTGCATAGCAGGTGTAACGCATGGTGATTTAAAGGCAAAATTATTCGTATAAGAAAAATGTTACCTGCTCTATTTGACTGGTCGATCATTGGCTGGACTATCCTACGTCTCGCGTTTATAAACCTGAAACAAAAATACAATAATTAGTACAGAGAATTCAGAGTTTAGCTTCAATTCTTGACCTTTAAAGACCGTCTCCATATCCCGCCATTTCTGTCTGTCCTTAATCTGGTCTATCCACTTTCCACCAGTCCACCAGTTTATTACTCTGTTGCTTGACTTTTCTGTTCCTTTGCCTCTGACACTCTCAACGCCAGAGGGTTCGCAAGTGGGTTGCCGGCGTTTGAGTAATGTGCATTTGTCATTGCCAGTTTTTACAATAAATACAAAAGCAGTTAAAAATTATTTGTATTTTTGTATTAGTTAACCACAGATTAAAATAGACATAGACATAACATTTATTACTAACACACACATAATAACAATATTCAAAGAAAATAAAAAATATGAGAGATAAAAAAATATCCCTTTTCCCTTTTGGTTCGTCCCAAGTGTGTAATGCGTATACTGTGGCTGTAATTGGCCCTGGCTCAGCATTATGCTGAGGAGCAGACTGTAAATTATCTGTACTGTAATTTATACTTTAAATTGTCTGTGGAATCTTATAACTATCACACAAGAAATTCCGTTACTACTGAATTGTATTAAATAGTAGCTCAAGTATATTTCTTTATCGATAAAACGTTCCTTACAGAGTATAATGATCTCAAAGAATCTGTCCACCCATTCCGCGAAACTATGAAATGGCGTCATAAAATTATGATCTAACCCTCCGGGTCAAAACAACAGAGACCCTTACGTAATTACAGCAGTCTGGCAGTAATGTATCGTTAATATCGCGATTAGTTCATTAACTCCACAGGTCCCGACTTTGGCCCTTGGGACGGGGTTGTAATTGTTATTCTTACAATATGACGCGTGACGTGAGATTTATTGTCGTGTTATTAGATTTTGCGAGTTCGTAATTAAATATTTTACGAACTGAGGGTTGTATATTTGTTAATTTATGACGAATCACTTATTGTTTCCGACTGGCTCTGGTCGTGGGTTGATGGGCGAGTGGAAAGATGGTGGGCGAACTACCTTACTACTTGTGCGAAGTGATTCCGAATTTAAAATTAGAATAAAATTTAGCCTTGCTACTTGAGCTAAGTGATTCGAAATTTAAAATTGGAATAAAATTTAACCTTGCTACTTGTGCGAATCGATAAATGTAACAAGCGATTCGAAATTTAAAATTGGAATAAAATTTCATCTTACAACATGTGCAAAGCGTGTGATAGACAGTAGATAAAAAAGGATGGAAAAGAATGGCAAGCATTCTGTAAGTACGTGAGAATCATCGTTCATGATTTGCATATGTGATACGCATCAGTTAAATTGACAGCGACACTGATTTTAGTTAAATTTCAACTAAAAACGAATCCAACCTTATCTTTAATTATAAATACACCTTAAGCTACAATTAGTTAAAGTGATCAATTTTAGGCATTAAAGAATAAAAAGCTACGCAAATTTCGCATCTGCGTGCGTACATTTTAAAATTCACAATAGTTTGGTAATAAATCATGCGAGATGGTTTAATACCCAATGTAGTGGAAGGGTTAGGTCAAAAATGGATACGACTCTTGATTTATTTATTTTTTATGCAAATTAGTGTAATTGTTGTGAGATTAAGGCGTTAAGAGGGGTGTTATCGTGTTCGCTGCACTAATGGTTAATTTTATAACTATTCTGATATTATTGTTACAAAAAATAACTATATTTATTATGTATATTAACAAAAATATTTTTATTGCATTTATTTCTATAATACACATAACATATAACATAATTAACCACTGAGTCTAGTAGCTTAAATGTGCGACTCTCTCTGAGGTCGTGAGTTCGAATCACAGCTGTGCAATGCATTCTATATCACTCGAAAAGTGAAGGCAATCGTGGGGAAACCAGCGTGTATTAGACCCAAAAATGAGGGAGGCACAAAAGGCTGATGTGGTATATAACAATAAAATGATCATGGAAATAGTTAGTTGAGGGCATGACTATTACTTGGTACATAACTAATAACTATATACGAGTATGTATTTGTCTATAGAAACAACTCACGACCTCATGATAATAGCCTGCCAACACTGCTCTGATTTGATTACAATAACCTAAGTATAAATTGATTGGGCTTTTTTCTTTGCGTGATATTAAAAATTATTTTTGTTTTATTAACTTATTTGATGATGGAGTATTTTTTCTTATATCAGGCCGATTACCCGAGTCGTTTTTAATTAACAAAGAAACAATTCTAATTTCACGTCACGGACGCTCCCGTTTTCCCTCTTATTTAATTTCCTCTTAGGTGATTAAAATCTAAAAACTTTGTTGAAATTAAATTTCAGTTACCTTTTCCTAAATTATTCAGTCCTGGTAAGTTATGCGTTGTAATTGATTAATACAACTAATTTTTAAACCTTTATAGTTTATTAACAAAATTATGCTTTACACAGTGTAATTAGTAGGTATATTTTAACTATTAAACCTTTATTATGCGTGACTTATAATAATATTTGGAGCAAAAGTATAAGATCTGTGGTATACGAAAAAATACTTGTAACGAATTATTTTTTTAATTATTGTAATCAAACATTAGCTATGCATCATGACAGCTTTCAAGAACATATACTTTATAATTAATAATTGTAAAATCACAATTTTATTAGTTACATAGTTTTAAAAAACCAAATTAAACAGGTAAACCGATGCTGCATCTAAGTCTTTTATATTTGCTGTTTAATTTTGTCTCCAATAAACGCAAAGACTGAAGATTGCCAGATTAGCTTTACAATCCAATGCCATTGAGAGTAATAAGACGATATTATTATATTTTAAATTAGCTCTGTATATGCCTGGGGACCCCTAAGAACGTGTCGGGCCCGTTAAATGACACACTTAACTTTTCCTATTTGGGGGAATCACATAGTAATAATCAAAGACTGAGCTAGGTGCGCGTTATGGTCACCTCTTGATTGTCTATGGATGCTCTATAATCTTTTGCCATAGATCAATTAGTATCTGTGCAATTATAGATATTATACTGTTTTTGTATATGAGAGATAAACCGACCCTAATAAGTTATGTATATCTATTTATTGTATCCATAATACATATTACATACTAATATATATGAGAAAAAGAGATGTTTTTTTTCTAATATGCTATTTTATTTAAAGAATAGTTACTTTGACAGTTGTGCTTTCAATAATTCCTTTTGTATAAAAGACAGATCGATATAGCGTTTCGTTATACCCAAAAGCATGAAAAGTCAGAACGTACAGTGAAACGTTGAGGAAAACAAACGGAACAATAAAAATTTACGACGTATTAGAAAGTACGGTCAGCGGTTGCGAGGCATATTTCATTATTAGTTGTTTTTGTCCCCTGTACCCGGATATTGTAGGTTATTGGCGAAATTCTAAGGCATTTGTGAGAAAATGTATGGAATATGTCAACGTAGTTATGTCGAAATGTTTATTTTAGAAAGCTTCTTTTACTAATAATCATAAACATAAAATATGTTTAAATAGAAAATATCCTTAATATGCAATAGTATAATTATACAGTGTAAGTGTTATTTAGAAATGATTATGTCAAGTAAGTTAACATGTCAAATAGAAGAGACAGAAACGCAAGTGTTGGAATAGTACCTACACTTAATTTTTAACTAAATGTCCTTTTTATTATTTACAAAATAAACAAATCAGTGGCGCTACGAGCTTTTAAGGTCTGGGCCTCAGATATCTGTATCTGTCTCACGATCATTTGTGAATCTAATGGGTAGATGATCAGCCTCCTGTGTCTGACACACACTGACTTTTTGGGTCTAAGTCAAGCCTCACGATGTTTTCCTTCACCGTTCGAATGTTAAATGCGCACATAGAAAGAAAGTCCAAGTGGACAGCCAGGGATCGAACCTACGACCTCAAGCTAATCCTGCACTATTATGTATAATAAAGTTTTTTTCTTTTTTCCTTTCAAGTTTAAATTAATGCGCTTAAAGAAGAAAAATTGTATTTTGTGTGTAACGACTAAATCTAAATTGGGATTTTCAATTCTTCCACATTGAGTAATATACATTTCCTTTTTTAAAGCTTATCTACAGTTAGTCTAGTATTTGTGGTACAGTCGACAGTTTAAACAAAAAGATTTGATGATAAACAAAGTTGTTTAGTAGGAAACTATTAAAGTGCTGGCAATAAATCTAAAAGATTTGCTTCGTGAGCCGGACAATAAAGGGTGAATAAATTGAGTAGATCTCTCGATATGTAACAAATCCACTGTGGATGGATGGTTTGTTTGATTAAATGGACGTTGGCTATGAAAGAGAATGTCTTAATACAAAGGTCTGTCTACAGTGGCGGACTTACAAATTTTCAAGGCTATATATATATATAATAGGCTGTGAAGTTTTTGCCGCCCTTGCCTTTATAATTGTCATGCCTTAGATTATATTTAGAATCCAACAATATCGTTGCAGGTAAATTTATTTTTGGGTTTCATTTTTGAGCACAAAATTATACACATCCTTAAAAACGCTCAGTTGTGGAACGACGGACGTCGAGGTGATACGGATGGTATTTTGTATTCTGCCGTCCGATAATGAAACTCAGCTGCAGGTATTAGGCAATTCTTCCCTCTACTTATTTATTTTTGTGAATAAATAAATGTTTGGCTGTTAGACCTACTATATTTGTTACTATATTTTACCGTATTTAAGAACATATATGTACCTACGGATAAACTTTGACCCTATTGTGATTTTCTGTTCTGGTATTGACGTAAATATTCCGTAAGTTATTTCAGAATCTTGGATTCGTAGGGCAATTGTTTTGATCCCGGTACTATAATTGGGCGCTAATAATTGTCTGATTTAAGGCAGTTTCTATGCGCCGCCCGCGCTCGATTCATGAAAAATATTTATCGCCCCCGGGACTCAGGGATTACGTTACGTACGTGATACAGAGGTATTTTATTGGTCATTTTGAAGACTTAACAATAAACTGTTGTGCTAGAAGATTGAGCAGTGTGTAGTACTTGATTTTGAATTTTGGAAAACTACCGAATATATCCGAAATAGACTCATAGTAGAACGACATTTTTCTAATATACAAATTAAATAAAATTCTCGTGTCGCGGTGTTTGTAGTTAAACCCCTCCAGCACGGCTTGACCGATTCTCATGAAATTTTGTGTGCATATTGGGTATGTCTGAGAATCGGACAGCATCTATTTTTCATCCCCCTAAATTTTAAGGGTAGTCCACCCCTAAAATTTTTAGATAAATTTTTATTTTTTAATTATTTATAATACATTAAAAAAAACATACAACCCCCATTTTTTACCCCTCTACGATGAACCCCTATTTTTTATTATAAAATATATACATGGCAAAACGACGTTTGCCCGGTCAGCTAGTATTATATAAAACAACGTGTATGCTTAAAATTATACAAGAAAATATGACATTACAAATTTTACCCACACAAACGTAACTTATATTAGAACATAAGCAAGATAGAAAGGGAAAAAATTAAACAAGCAACCACAAAATTAACAAAAAAAAAAAAAAAAAAAAAACTAAATAGAAACTTAAACCTCATTAAGAGCATGATTTTGAAGAGCTGTATGTGTGTGTGTAAGCTTGGAACTAATACATGAAATCGTTTACCTTAAAAATATGAACCCAAAAATACGCTGTAATTTCATCTCCCACTTAGAAATCGTAAAACTAATTTTGGTAGCGCTAACTTTATATCATAAATTAATGACATTTCCAAACTTATTGACATCGAGCCGTGGTTACAAGGGTCAAACAACTGTTGTCGATAATTACAGCACTATCGAGTTGTCGGCATATGGTGCTTCACTAATAAGGGCAAGGGTGACGATTGGGCGAAACGGATCGGGATTATGGCAACACTTGTGTTTTGCCCTTCCTGTGAAAGACAGTGTCTTAATAGGTGCAACTTTCTAGATAGGTCGAGATAGTTCTGTTACTGTTTACAAGATACATACATATATAGTTCTTTTCATTTTAACCCACCCTGACTATTTCTACGTACCTACTACCTATACTAAAATCGATTCAACTATTTGAGCTAGAAAAATATCAATCAATATTATACTTAGTAAACTCAAACTCAAAATATCTTTATTCATATAGGTAAACATTAAACAAGTACACTTATGAACGTCAAAAATAAGTTAAATTAATTGTAAATTTACATTTACTACCAGTTCGCAAGTCAAGGGCGTAAGGCGAGCAAGAAGAACTGGCAAGAAAGTATCAGCCACTCTTTTTAATCGCCAAGTTTTGAGTCTTACAAATTGTTTGAACTGGAGCAAATCAATCCCAAGGATTAGGATCCTTTAAGTATTCGTCAAATTAATAAAAAGCTTTATCGATTAATTTACGTTTAACGAGGGCTTTGAATTTATTTAGTGATTATTCTCTGAAAACAAATGAATTTCGATAAAAACGTATATACTTTAAAAAGGAATAACTGGATATACTTTTTTGTGATATTCCCGCTTATTTAGTGGCAACACCCGCACGCGAATATCGTGCTATGGTGATAATCGTGGCGCCATATTGCTCTGACTGCGAGAAAACGTATTTATCTCAAATTAAAGGGGTTAAGGTGCAAACAGATGTACTGAATTTAATATAATATGGCAACGTGATAATTCTAACTATATATAATGTATAGCTTACGTTGATATGACGAATTTTAGGTATTCATTAATTTGGTTATGGTGCTATATATAACTTGAATTTTACATTGTTTATTTTACTTAATGAGATAAATAGAGTTTTAATTAGATATAATTAACGCTTCGGTGTTTAAAGTACGCCTTATTATTTATTCATGAAACTAAACATAACAATCAAATAAAAGTATTTACTATTTTCTTTACTATCACTAGAGTAAAAATAGTTAAAAAGAAAATTAAATCAAATTTAAAGGATCCCTGTGGCAGTGTACCTTTAACGCTGGCAGCATTTCCTCGTATTGTGATACTTATTCCTTAAAGCACCAGGACCCAGGTATGGGGTCACCGGTACT